TCGCGAGCTGTCACAGAGCGAAGGTGTCGCCCTAGGCCGGTAATCCTACTCGCGCAGCTCGCGAGCCGATGGTGGACACACACATAGTTGAATCGAAACCGGAAGTAGGAATCATCAGCTCAGCGCGAGCGTGAATTTAATCCCCCAGAAACGTGTCATTGAGTACGTTGTGCAAGTCTTCAGCTGATCCTTTCTAACGCTAACGAAAGTATCATCAACATATGTTAGCTACAACTTAGGGCTGGTTAGCATAAATGCTATCGCCTCAAGCCTCTGCATTGTTACCCTGGCAAGAAACTCCGACATAGGTGAGCCCATAGGATCTCCTTTCAGTTGCTGATAGTATTTGTTGTCAAATAAAAAGTTAGTCTGTAAGCATAGGTCTGAAATTCCGGGTAAGGCAGTTGCGAAGACACCTGTCGTGTAGGATGGACTCGGTCTCAGGCCAGAAGTCAGCATTAGGAACCTGTTCGTACAACCCACGGGTGGCTGCCGCCAAAGGGCACGTCAGAACTTGTTTACTGTGCTAACTGTCTAGACTGTCCAGCCAATTACTGCGGCACGACTGAAAACAACTTATATCGCGTTTGCATGATAACACTAGCCGCATAGCTAAAGGATGTAAAATCGCATGTCGCCATGCGTAGTCTCGAAAAATATAACCAACTCGACTTCGACGGGGCACAGGCAATCGACAAAATGGCAAGAGGTGATCAAGGCCGAGCTATCTGATGCCAATTTGGTCAACCGAGTGTTCAATCTACCAACGTCCTACGAGGCCGTCAGACACCACTTAGGCCAAAAGGGAGGACGAATAAGGACAGAGCCTGGTTGGATAATCAGGAGGGTGGAACTAAAGTCCAATTTAAACTATGTATTTCCTACGAACCACTCAAGTAAAAGTGTGAAACGTCAGATGAGACGTAAAAAAATCATCGCCTACCATCTTTCTCTATCTGAACACCTGGCGTCAGCATTTTCGCGAGGTTAGAGGTGTATAAAAGCAGTTAACTTTAAACTGTATGTGTTAAGGTTTGAGGCCCAGATATCTCATCCCGCTCTTCATCTTCCGAAGAGGAGAGGGTGAGTTCTTGCAATATTGTATCTGCTGCGCTATGTGCTCTTGAGTTAGTCAGTCCTGTCGTCTGATTCGTATTATTGTCGTACGGAACACCGGAACTTTGACCTGCCCGCTCGCTGCTGACTACCTTTGACCTCGCGATTGAATGCTGGTGGGTCTGTGTGACCTTTGTCCCCTTTAAGGTCGGCGTGGCTGTAGGCAAGTCGATGTGCCTGATGACCTCCCTGATGTCAGTCGGCAGACTTACCAGTTGTTATCCTTTTTAGTTACTCTTCGCTTCGCGGGCGCATCGGTGAGGCACTATTGATGTTGTTCACCTGACCCCCGACCGGCGCCCCCTCCGCTCCATGGGCGTCGGCTCTTGGTT